AAAAAAAAAAAGTTCAATTCTCTTTTTTTTTAAGAGACAGAGTCTCACTTTGTTGCCCTCAGTAGAATGCTGTGGCGTCACAGCTCATAGCAACCTCCAGCTCTTGGGCTTAGGCAATTCTCTTCCCTTAGCCTCCCAAGTAGCTAGGACTACAGGAGCCCACCACAATGCCTGGTTAATTTTTGTTGCAGTTTGGCTGAGGCTGGGTTTATACCCTTGGTATATGGGGCCAGTACCCTACTCACTGAGCCACAGGCACCACCTAATGGTTATAATTTTTGGTATATTGTATTTTTGTTTTCTTCTAATTTTCCTTGAGGTATTGTTCTTTAGTCCATGGGTTATTTAGAAGTGTGTATTCAATTTTGAAATATTTGGGTCTTTTTTAGATTTTTTTTAAATTTTCATTGTTCTCACTTCTAGGGTAAAGTTCCATTTGTAGAAGAGCCCTTCACCCAGGGGGCATCTTATACACCCTCACAATGTGCACATTAGGTGAGATCCCTTCTCATGTCCTCCCTCTTTCTGCCATACATCCCCATCCACCCACCCCCCACTTCCCTCTACCTCCAAACTGGACTATAATAGTGTTTGATTATTCTTATAAACATGTAATTGTTTATATATTGATTTCATATTAGTATGGGAGTACATTGGATATTTATTTTTCCATTTTTGTGATACTTTACTAAGAAGAATGTATTTCACCTCCATCCAGGTAAATGTAAAAGATATAACGTCTTCATCTTTTTTAATGGCTGAATAATAGTCCATGGTATACATATACCACAGTTTGTTGATCCATTCATGGGTTAATGGGCACTTAGGTTGCTTTCATGACTTGGCAATTATGAATTGTGCTGCAATAAACATTCTAGTGCAAATGTCTTTGTGGTAAAATGATTTTTATTCTTCTGGGTAGGTAGCTATAATGGGGTTGCAGGGTCAAATGGAAGGTCTACTTTTAGATCTTTGAGGATTCTTCATACTTCTCTCTAAAAGGGCTGTATTAGTTTGCAGTCCCACCAACAGTGTAGAAGTGTTCCCTTCTCTCCACATCCACGCCAGCATCTTGCTGGGGTTAGGTGATATCTTAGAGTGGTTTTGATTTCTGTGATGATTAAGAATCATGAGCATTTTTTCATGGCCATTCATCTGTTATCCTTGGAGAAGTTTCTGTTCAGATCTCTTGCCCACTTATAGGGAGGGTTGCTTGCACTTTTCTTTTTGTTTAAATTGTGTTTTCTGTAGACTCTAGTTATGAGGCCTTTGTCAGATTCATAATGTGCAAAACTCTTCTCCCATTCTGAGGGCTGTCTGTTGGCTCTGTTTGTGGTACTCAGCTGTGCAAAAGCTTTTTAGCTTGATCAAGTCCCAGTTATTCATTTTCAGTATTCCTGCAATTGCTAGGAGAGGGTCTTCCTCATGAAGATTTTTCCCAGGCCAATATCTTCATGTTTTTTTTCCATACTCTCTTCTAGAATTTTTATTGTTTTGTGTCTTAAATTTAAAATCTTTGGCTTGGTGCCTGTGGTTCAAGTGGCTAAAGCGCCAACCACTTGCACCTAAGGCGGCAGGTTCAAATCCAGCCTGGGCCCGCCAAACAACAATGACGGCTGCAACCAAAAAATAGCCGGGCATTGTGGTGGGCACCTATGATCCCAGTTACATGGGATGCTGAGGCAGGAGACTTGGCTTGAGCCCAGGAGTTGGAGGTTGCTGTGAGCTGTGATACCACGGCACTGTACCCAGGGGGACAGCTGGAGGCTCCTGTCTCAAAAAAAAAAAAAAATTTAAATCTTTTATCAAGAAAGAATCAATTTTTGTCAGCGGTGCGGGTCCAGTTTCGGTCTTTTGCATGTGGATAACAAGTTCTCCCAGCACCATTTGTTGAATAAGGATTCTTTTCCCCGTTGCATGTTTTTGTTAGGCTTATCAAAGATTAAATGATGATATGTGACTGGGTTCATCTCATGATTCTCCATCCTATTCCATAGATCTGTGTTGCTATTTTTGTGTCAGTACCATGCAGTTTTGATCATTGTAGCCTTGAAACATAAACTGAAGTCTGGCAATGTGATGCCTCCAGAATTGTTTTTATTTCTAAGAACTGTATTTGCTATTGAGGGCTTTTTCTGGTTCCATATGAATCAAAGTACCATTTTTTCAAGATCTTTAAAGTATGACATTGATACTTTGATGGGGATTGCATTAAATCTATAGATTGCCTTGGGTAGTATGGACATTTTAATGATGTTGATTCTTCCCAGCCATGAGTATAACATGTTCTTCCATTTGTTGACATCTTTTGCTATTTCCTTTCTCAAAGTTTCATAATTCTCTTTATAGAGATCTTTCACATCTTTTGTTAGATATATTTCCAGGTATTTCATCTTCTTTGATGCTATTATAAAAGGAATAGAGTCTTTGATTTTGATTGTCAGCTTGACAATTGTTGGAGTATACAAAAGCTGCTGATTTGTGGTATTGATTTGGTAACCTGAGATGCTGCCATATTCCTTGATCACTTCTTAGAGTTTTATAGTTGTGGCCCTGGGGTTTTCTAGGTATAAGATCATGTCATTTGCAAAGAGGGAGAGTTTGACCTCCTCTGTCCCCATCTGGATTCCTTTAATCTCCTTCTGTTGCCTGATTGTGACTTCCAACACTATGTTAAATACCAATGGAGACAATGGGCATCCTTGTGTGGTTCAAGATTTGAACTCCATTCAATATAATATTGGCTATGAGTCTGCTGTAGATAGCCCCTATCGCTTTAAGGAATGTTCCTTCTAAGTCTATTTTCTTGAGTGTTTTTATCATGAAAGGATATCAAGCCTTTTCTGCATTGATTTAGAAAATCATATGGTTTTTGTTTTTGTTGTATTTATCTGGTGCATTATATTTATAGAATGCATATATTGAACCAACCTTATGTCTCTGGGATAAAACCCACTTGATCATGGTGTATAACCTTTTTAATGGGGATCAGGGTGATGTTTACTTCATAGAATGTGTTGGGGAGGATTCCTTTTTGGTTTTTGGCCAGGGCTGGGTTTGAACCCACCATCTCCAGCATATGAGGCCAGCACCCTATTCCTTTGAACCACAGGTGCCGCCCAGGGAGGATTCCTTCTTTCTCTCTCTCTCTTTTTCTCTCTCATACATACATACATATATACATATATGATATGTATTTTAGCATAATAAAAGTTTTCATTTATAGTCTTACAGTAAAGGATGAGGCCTTAACTTGCAAGACAATTCTTCAGCAGTATGTATAACATACTTTTTATTTCCATGGAATGGAATTAAACATGGACTGGGTCTACAGAGTATACACTAGAAATCAGCGAATGCTGGGAATGGAGTAGGAAAAAGACAAGAAATGAAGCCTAAACACGCAAAACCCTTCACTGGGGTCTGTTGACTGCAGCCAGAGCCAGGGCTGGATCACACAATGGACATAGGTTTCAGGGCAGCAGGAAAGGAAGTGAGGTGAGGGCAGGGGAGGGTCCAGACTGGGGTACGGGTTTTGTATCAGGTAAATTACTCTTGGTATTTACATACAAAATCAGTGGGCTCTATTTCTTAGAAATACACATGAAAAGAAAGGAAGATTTGATCACTTTATGAATCTGTCACTTTGCAGTATCAACATTATCAGAAGTGGGGACAATTCACT